GGAATAAATACACACGTAACAAGATCATAAGCAATGAAACATGCACAATAAAAGACCACTAAAATCAGATATTGGATAATTAGTACAATACTTGGTACTTTTTGTACTAAGTATGTCGAAGTCTTAAGTACAAGTGTATTTTTTGTAGTAAAAGTACAAATACTTTTTACTTAAATATTGTACTTTGTAATTGTACTTAAGTACTTTTACTTAAGTACAAATATACGCAGTACCGGTACTACAGTAGATTTGTACTTATTACAATTTACATAAGTACAACAGACTTAAATACAATGTACTTAAGTAAAAGTACATATTTTACTTTGATTTGCATTTTTTTTTATCAATATCAATTATTTTTCGAGTCCAACAACATATGTAGTAGCAAAAGGATGGAAAGCTTTTAACTACTCTACAATATTTGGATGTGTATTCATATTAAAATCGAGATAATTTGTAAGCTTAAAACTTCAGGTCATGGGGCAGAGTGAGATGGAAATGTGCGTGTGTGAGCGATAGTGGTTGACCAAAAAGGTAACATTAGCACATACGCGCTAAAGTTTCAAACTTACAAATTATCTCGATTTTAATATCAACACACATCAAAATATCGTAGAGTGGATAAAAGCTTTTTATGTTTTTGCTACTACATATGTCGTTAGACTCAGAAAATGATTAACGTTGATAAAAAAATACGAATCAAAGCAAAAATATGTACTTTTACTCAAGTACATTGTACTTAAGTTCATTGTACTGAGGTACATTGTACTAAGTACAAATGTACTCAGTACCGGCACTACAGTACAATTTACTTAAGTACATTAGTACTCAGTATCGGTACTGAGTACATTTGTACTTAAATAAATGTGCTTAAGTAAAAGTACGAAATGCAATTGTTAAGTAAAACGTATTTGTACTTGTACTTACTGTGCTAGTACTGGTCCAACGTCCAACTGAAATCAGCTCGATATGGGATCAATTCTCGTTTGATTAACTTAAATTAATATATTTTGTAACATTTTATTCAAGTATAAATTTTTAAAAAAACGAGTAATAACAAGAGAACTGCTTTCACACTTTTTTATTTTGTATAGAAAAATAGTTTCTATGATTAGAAAATGAAGAAATCACTAAACAATAAATCACAAGTTAGACACTATCTGAACATAGCATCATAATAGGTTATGATACACATATGTCACAGACATTGATTATAGGCCAAATGATAAAAACTAGAAACATAAGTGTTATTACTTATATTACGTAAAATCAAGTAAAATAAGAGAATGAAAAGGCTTTTCTGGATTATATTGATATAAGAAATCCACTTATGAAGTAATATTTTATGACTGATATTTTATAGAATATATTGTTAACATCATAATATCCTTGTCAAATCATAATGAATACTAACGAGTAACTCATAAAAAATGAACCTTACAGTGTTTTGTATATTTTTCAGTAGTCTTTCAATATAACTGGACAATCTTTTTGTTTTGTGATAGATTTCTTGTTCGATTCTCTACAAGTCTGCATTTTTGACTTAGACAGAGCAATATACATTATTTGTTTAAGCCTAATGACACAAATAGATTCAAAATATATCGCTGTTGAAAGACTTTTTTTTTGTCAAGCTTTTTTGCTCTCGTTGCTTTAATCATAAAATATTTCAATCAATTATCAATCCGAAACTAATGTCAGCAATCGATAGAGGAACGAGTTCGGACGTTTTTTTGTCAGATAGCAAGTAAGATATAATTATTTCAAAAACTCGTTACCTTCAAATAAATGCTTCAAAATGATGTTCTGTTTCCATATAATTTTGATTTTGACATGTGTTTATGACAGAGGGACTTCAATTCTATGTAAAACCTACCCCTTTTTAATTATGGCGCTGACATTAGCTCTAATGGACTCTTAAGAAGGATCGAAGACTTAACTATTATTAATATTCATGAATAAGATAGAAATTGGTACAACTTGTTTGCAACTTTCCGCATATGATCATCTTCAGCATTTAGGTGCTTTGAGTTTCATAAAACAGAATGTTGTTGTTTCTCTAGGGGTTACTTATTCTCGATACGGAAGATTCTCAATATTTCTTTATAAATAATCAAAAGTGAAATGATTCTGACGATGATCGTATGCACAAAGTTTAAAAAGAGTTGTGACAATTTCAATCTTATTGATTAACAATAATAGTTCAGCCTTTCATCATTCTGAGGACTTGATTAGAGCTACTGCCCATTTCAAAAAAAGGTGGGTGAGCATTTTTTGAATAACTTTTGATAAGAACAAGATAGAGAGCTACGATTTTCACCGTTGGAAAGAGGCTTATCCACTGCATCGACTCACATAAAATTGCTGAGATTTATCTCACAAAAAAGTAGTGATCCATGCTTATCTTGAAAGAGTAGACTGTTGCTCTATGCAGATAGAATAAATCTTAAAGTTTGATGAATGAACTAGAATCACCAGCTAACGAGCTACAAATCTACGAAAGATCGAAACTTTTATCTCAATTTGTTTAAAAGTTATGAGTCAAATGCTAACGGCATTCGACTGATTTTTTTTGCCAATTTCACTTGGTGCAAAATATTTTTCAAATTATTATTAATGATGTTTTCGATCATGTCGGATCCATTGGCAATACTTGTTTTGCTATAGAGCACTTCTTTTTCTATCAAGATATTATAACTAGCCATTGAACGGTATTGCTTTCATATGCTATTACATTGTTAACTTGGAATACATAGGGAGTGTGGGTTTGGGTGTGGAATATCGATATACCTATACCCATATGCACATCCCTGAATCAATGCAGTAGATAAGGGTGTGGATGTGGGGTGTGGGTCTGTGGGTGTGTTGGGGGTGGGGTGTGGCTGTGGGAGTAAAGTGAGCAACCAAAATTCATTTTATCCACACCCACACCCTCAAACGGCCGAAACTTGCACTATATTCATTGCAATCATTTGATAAGGATCATAATGCTTGTATTTGGATAAAAAATAAATGAATGAAGAAGGAGAAAGACGACATTGTTTGAATGATCCGACGATTTAGTGTAGCTCTTGGATCCTCCCAGCAAAACTTGTCATAATCCATTCAACTTTTTAAGTACTGAAAGATGCAAAAACGAGTCGAGGTTTTCTCGGGAACAAAGTATTTTTTTGAATTCTCAGAGTTTTAATGATTTTACACAATAATCCCCATAAATTGAATAAGGTTTATGTCGTGCGTGCCGAGCAATTTCTAAATCTCTAAAATAAAAATGGGAACATGAGAATCAAAAATAAGATATCCTAATGCTATTTCGGTGGTTCAGGATGCTGCATGAGTTTTCGAAACTTTTTCTCGGAAACGCAAGAGTTTTGTCAAGATTCGAAAACCCGTCAGAGTTTTGAAGATATGTTCGGAAACCATGCTTGATTTCTTGAAAACGTTTTCACCGTTTCCGGTGTTCTTAAATCCAAAAAGGTTTTCGATAGAAAAAATATCGGAAACGCAAAAGTTTTCGAGAAGATCTTTGAATCAAAAGCGGTTTTCGAAAATAGCACCAGGGTTTCTAAGAGTACAGTTGAGGGTTTCTGGACCTATCTTTTGAAAACCTATAGGTTTCTGGATGCTTGGAAACCCAGAAGGTATTTTCAAAAACTTAACGGGAGTCCGGAAACTTTTTTGGATACCTCTTCATGGGTTTTCGAAAGGGTTTCCGAAGGGGTTTCGGTTTCTGAGAAACTGTTTTTTTTTAGAGTGTAGTCGATCGTGGCTCGTATACCGCAGGCAAACCTATTGAACGTATCGAAGTAACTCGGTCGAATGGTACAACAATGCAACTAGCAGCACCTTTTGAGGGTGTCAAAACTGTCGTTCGCAACCTGTTTTTCGTGATTGACAATGAAGCCGCCAAGTTAGCGAATCGAAGTAGCTACATGGACGAAAATCAATACGTCTTTATTCTTATTTACGTATTGTCAGCAAACTTAAAACAAATATAGAATATTTTACTTGACATGTAGATGGCTGTAGAGTAACATTCTCTATTAGAAATCTGCAACTAACCGTATAGTTTCTGCAAATGACTGATGATTTCACAATAAACATCAAACATCTTTATTAGTGTGTTAGGTGGCTAACTCTAGATCGACGGTTGGATGATCATGAGATAAGAATGTGTTCGTATCACACTTCTGTTTATTTATGCAAATCACAGGCTTTATATAGAATAGTGGATCACACATCTTTAGGAAGTGCCCAACGGATGATGAGGATAAGTCTCTTCAGACATAATACACATGAAAAGACAACGCATAGAGAAAGAAAGGAAAAGATCAAACATATGTCATAAACAGGAATGGAAAAATCCTAATATATGTGACATGTGTAAGAAGAAAAGATGAAAAGAGAACGGAAAGGGAAAATAACAAGAACACATATACAAGAAGAAAGATAATAGAGATGTACGAACTACCACCTAACAAGTTTTCCCGGAGTGCTCCCTGTTATTATCAGAAGAAACTGTATGAGTATCAAGAGGCCAAAAGCTTCGCAGTGAAACGATAAACGATGAAAAACTGGCAGTTGAATTGTTCTGAAGTCTACATAATGTGACATCAGAAAAGTCTCTCTCAGATGGAAATTGCACCGACGTCGCAAGACATATTCAGATTTCAATAGTACATCATTATGGACTATTTTCTTAACGAGCAAATTAACCTAGTCAATGAATGCAATAACCGCTCATCAGCGGCCTATCCTTTACGTTGACCTTACTGTGAATTTGATTTCCATCAATAGTCATTATTATCGAAAATGTTCTCTGTCACAGAACGTAATGTGATTTGCGCGAGTCTAGCGGATGCCCTGCGGCAAAATGATCAAAAATTTCATTGGATATTTCAAAGAGATTATATAGGTAGTTTCTCAAAATTCTCAAAACTTTCTTTTTTTCGTTAGGAAGAACCTGTTTCAAGAATATATTCGAATCTTATGAAACTGGATTAAATCATCGATAATAAAGCTGAACCATAACCGTTGCCAATAATTGTCGTTCCTATTGTACTCCATTTAAGTTTGCTTAAACCTGACATTAAAATAAAAATATAAGAATTATTTTTTTTTCTCAAGACAAAAGACAAATCTCAATTCTGATTAAAATTTTCTCAGTCTGTGTCAAATTGCATCTGTGGGAAAAGTTTTCTCATTACAGAATTCGCCCGTAATATTCCAGAATCCATTTGGAATACGTATGCTGCGAGACAATGAGAAAATATGAGAAAATCTATTCCTATTAAAAAAAACGTAAATGTAAGTGTTAAACAAAGAATAATAGGACTCTATGTTATTAATTCAGATTCTGATTGTATTGATTGAAGTAATTATAAAATTTTAAAATATTTAGTGATACAGACTTGCAGCAAACTTCAGTACACTTACAGTCGCTTGATTGTTTATACACAGATTGACCTAAAAGAGAAACAAATTAAAGAGAGATGTAGTTGCTACTTTTGAAAATTTGTCATAAACTTGTTATTATTTGTCGCGATTATTCTAAAAATAAAATAGAATATTAATTATATACTTCTATTAGATAAAGCTTTTTCATAAGTTGTATTTTGATCTGAATCTTTTATTCATAGTTACTGTTGGATGAAAGAGACGGAATGTCGAAATTCCACTTTGGACTCATTTCTTCAGTCTAACTTTATCTTTAATACTTACGCAAATAAGCACAAGAAGTATTATAAAATTTTTTTATAGCTTCGTTTTTTATTGTTAATAGTAGAGCAATGAAGAGATAGAAAAGAAAGGGGTAAATATAAACTAATACCTAAAAATATAGCAATCTGTATCTAATTTTAAAATAAATCTATATCTAATATAGGATGCTTTTATATCTAATTAAGAAAATAATATATCTAATTTTAAAATTTATTTATATCTAATTTATTAAATAACATTACCTAACAACACAAAGTTATATCTAATTAATAATTAAAGTAATAGAAAAAAATAAAGATACAATTATCAATTATTTACAAAAATAGCACAGCAAAAAAAAGAAAACGATTGCACAATTAATGCTTTTTTAGCTTCAACAGAGTCTATTGAATCTGTTTTATCATTATCTGATAATGCTGCTGCCATTTTTTTAATAGTATATTTTTTTATATTTTTTAAACTAACTTTTTTCTTATCACTTATCGTCATTTCTAGCTCATATATACTCTTTCAATTAATTGATAAGTACTAATCAATTATAGATTACGTTCAAATCAATTAGATAATTCGATAAATTGATTGATAGTCATTTGTTAAAATTGATAATATATTAAATTAAAAGATAGAACATTTTTTATTTCAGCAATTTAATTGATTTAAAAGATGTTTAATTAAAAAATTAGATAAAACGTTTTCTTTTAGTATCCTTTCACCGGAATAGATACTACTGTATTAAATTAGATATTGATTGCTATAATTTAGATATAGATTGCTATATTTTTAGATATTCCATTAAATGTATGCCGAAAAGAAATAATTCGTGTTTCAGCTCGATAGGTATTTTATTCTTGAAATGATTACATTTTATGAGAACAAACTATTTGAAAATACATCGAACATTTTTTTTCAGTGAATTCTTTCAAACTTTTGTATACGGTAATTAAATGTATCCGAAACATATAAATTAAGGTCTGAATCAAATGCAATATCATATGGGTAATTTAATTCATTGCTGTTATTGCCACGATGACCAATGCCTGCAATTGTTATACCAAATACAGAATTTGGACAAAACATTTGGATTCGATGATTAGAGGTATCAGCAACATATAAATTACCATATTGGTCAAGAGTTACACCTTGTGGATAAAATAGTTGTGCGGAACTATTACCAGGTCGTCCAGGTATACCAGCATATATATTACGATTTTCATAATCTCCAATAATCCATTGTGTTATTGAATGGGATTGTTCATTCGATATGTAAAAGATATTATTTGGTTCATCTAAATATAAACCTAATGGATTATTTAGTTGATATGGATTGAGACCCGCACCATTACCACCCTAGAATAAATATAAAGGTCAAATATATTCATTCAGCACATAAAGAAAAAGCTCAGCATAGTTTATTAGTCGACCCCTGTATCCGTTAGTTTAGTTTCCTGTCCTTAATTTTATTTACGCCTTCATTTTCATTCGTTCACATGAATATTGAAATTTGTAATAAACTTTAATAGTTTGTATGTTGATGAAAGTTTTTGATAATAAAATAATCTCACACAAAAATACAGACAATTACAGCAATCAAATTACCTTTGAATTATTCAAAAGAGTTATAATCAATAACTTACGGCCATGATTGTGCCAACAGATGTTGTTGGATCAAATGAAAATGGCCATTTTGTTATACGTTCATTTTGGGTATCAGCAACGATGACATTTTTCTTTGAATCAAGTAAAATTCTACTTGGATAACTCAATTCATTTAATGCTGAACCTTGAGTCCCATTTCCAGCGACTGTTTTTCCACTTTTGGCATCTTTTGGCCAAAATTGAACTCGGTGATTGTTCCAATCAGTAACGAAAACATTTTCATTTTCATCTGCAAAGACATCTACTGGATTCGATAGTGCATCTGGAGTTGTTCCAGGGGTGCAATTGGCTCGACCTGCCGCAGTTTGCACCTCACCATTTGGATAACGTTTTTGAACACGGTTATTAAAAATATCAGCAACATATAATATTTGTGTTTTTGGTTCGATCAATAAACCTGAAGGAAATGTTAATTGATCTGAAGCTGAACCATAACCATTGCCAATAATTGTCGTTCCTGTTGTACTCCATTTAAGATTGCCAGGACCTGGAATTTCAATAAAAATATATTAATTTAGTTCTTTTTCCAAAACAAAAGACAAATCTCAGCACTGAATTGATACGATGGATAGTTCATAAAATCTTTTAATTTTTCATTTACAGTAGTCTTTTTAATCTTTTGTTATTGTTATTTTTTAAAATTTTCTCAGTTTGAGTCAAAATTCAGATGTGGGAAATATATCCTCATTTAAGAATATATCTCATGACATTCCAGAGCCTATTTGGAATACTGTTGCTGTGTAACACCTGGAAAATGTGGGAAAATTTATTCCTATAAGAAAATGTAAATGTTAAACAAAAATGTGTAGGATGTTATGTTATTGATTTAGATTCAGGTGTTGGTCTCCGCAGATTTATAATGTTGATCGAAATCATCAAAAAATTTTAAAATATTTAGTGATACAGACATGCGGCAAATTTCAGTCCACTTACAGTCATATGATTGTTTATAAACAGATTGACCTAAAAAAGAGACAAATTAAAAAAAATATAATTTATATATTTAAAAATTTGTCCTAAACTTGCCATTATTTATCGTGATTATTCTAAAAATAAAGTAGAATATGAATTGCGTACTTCCATAAGATATGGCTTTTTCATAAGTTATATTTTGATCAGAAGCTATTATTAATAATTACTTTCATGGCAAAAGAGATGGAATGCATAAGTTTTACACTGAACCTATCTCCTCAGTTTAACTTTATCTTTAATACTTACGCAAATAAGCACCAGAAGTATTGTAATATCATTTTGATAGCTTCGTTTGTTTTTATTGTTAATGGTCGAGCAATGATAAGTATCTGCGTTTCTCACACCTTTTAAATTTAAAATTATTCTTTATCTATGCATTGTCATTTATTAGCTGCGTATTTTTTTTAATAACAATGACAGTAAGAAAAATGATCTAAATAGATCAAATAGATTATTAGGAAACAGAACACGTGCAGCTGTGTTCAAAAAAAAACTTGCACACTCTTTTCTATAGGTAATATCTTATACACATGTTCTCTTCAAATTGTTTTATATTGTGGTTGATAATAGCCCACGAAGAGTACTATAAAGCAGCATAATTTGATATTTCCTTTGTTCACATTTAGAAGAAATAGAAAACAAAGATCTTCTTCTCTTGGACATAGCAAAATTCTTTACAACACAAATTTCAACATTTTAACTTCTTCACCTGAAAAATGATGGAGTTCGCCATTTTTTTTTGAGTTTATTTTTTCAACATTATAATTTATAACTGATCGAAGATTCCTATGAAGTTAACAACGAAGATATCAAATGAGCACTCGAGTATTTATGGTGTATTAATGTTAACGAATTGTTTAATGACATGACTGATACATTTTCAATCATTTTTCTCATAAGAAATGCCTTTGATGATAAAGCTTTTCTAAAACGATATCGTTCTTTTCATCGCTTACAAATAACAGCAAAAAATAGGTGGTTCTCAAGCATATAAACTTAAGAAAGGCCATCAACTGCATCTCAATGTATAACAGACAACACATCTTGATTTGCAATATGGTCCCATTCATAAACTTTTTTTTACTTTTGCAGGTACATATTTCAGATTTTCGTTTGGACATTTTGACCAACAACGATTTATTTTAGTCTGGTACTATTGTAATAGATAGTCCTTAGTAGAACACTTGTTTTACAATGGATCACACAGCCAGATCTTATGGCTTTTTTTCAACAGTATGATATTGATATATGCTAGACATTTTGAGGGAGAAGGGTGTGGATGTAAAATGAGCAACCAAAATTCATTTTATCCACACGCACATCGACACCCACACCCTCACCCACATCCACACATCACAGCTATATCCACACTCTTCTCTCTTAAATATTAGACGTGTAACTTCTATTGCAATCAGTTATCATACTATTTCCAATTGATTTTCAGTTTGAAAAATGAGAAAAGTTTCTTCGTCACATGAAAAAAAAATTAGTTTTCTCTTTCATTAATTACTCTCTTGTAAAAAAAACTCTGCTTGAACATAGAATACAATGCATCTTACTTTCAATGAAGGAAGAATTTCATATGATTTGTTGAGTATACGAACGAGAATTACTCAATAGAATTATTTTTACATATTCAATTATGTGTCATTACTTTTCTTGAATATTCTTGTCTTTCATATCTTACACAAATGAAATGAATATAGAAATGTTAAATTGAGTAAATAATGAGTTATGTCATGCTTATGAATAATTGATATTATGTCACTCATTGCAGCCGCTAGTTTCAAAAATGTTCACTTCTAGGGTGTGAGTGTGGGGGTGTGGGTATTCCTGTCATCTATATTCAGACACTCACACTCCTCGCACACCCACACCCAGGTTCTCTCGTTAGTTATTGGTTTTTTGTCCTGGCGAAATTTGGGCTCATGTTTCTGTTGGAGGTATGGTTGATGTTCTATTCATATTATAGTTCCTGAAATAATCATTTTTGAATCTTAAAACTGCAACTGCTTTTGAGTTCATGCTTTAGGTTTTTTTAGAGAACATGATTAACTAGGAATTCGCATATATTTTAAAACTTTTACCAAATTTATTATGCATAATAGAGAAAATACTTGAAGGACTATGCCACTGTTAGAATAAACATTAAGATTGGTCCATCCAACTTTATTGCCTGCAACATTCAAACAAATAGCATATCTAATGCAGTTTTTCATATTGTTTTTAATTATGTGTTGTGTATTGAAATTGGTCGTATATTAGCAGAACACAGTGGCTATCTACCTGTACTGGTCTCGAGAATATTCATTTTCGACAGTTATTTGTAAATCAATACGACAAAAAGTAAATCATCGTGTAGAGGGCAGCTTGCTTTTTTCAAACGATATGTCTTGAAGAAAATTTTGTATTGAGATGCGCTTGTAGAGATGATTAAATAACAAGTGCTTGAATAATTTTGAAAGAATAAAAAAAAGCATCTAGTTTTTTTTTTGTTGCTAATACAGTCATAACAATAATGTGGATTAGTCTGAAAAATTCCATAGATATACTAAGTAGAGTTGCGTATATTATGATGAAAACCCGATAGTTACAGCTAATGTAGATTATGCGATACAAATAAAGCAAAGAAATAACCTATTTGCAAGTTGAATAACTTTGATAGCCACTATATACAGAAAGTGTTTCAACTATTTCAGAGTTATTCACGTAAATTTTTCGGATAAACTGTTGAGATACTATGTATAATCAGTAATTATGATTTGAACAAAATAGAAAAAAAGAATGATCATAATTTGCCTTCTTCCAATATTCAGTTGATTTTTGTATTGCATTTTACTTTTATATCGTTTTCGTAATCATAAAATGCAATTTATTCACGATCACGTGTATGAGTTATATTCGGCATTGGTGTTTGCCTAAAAACTATGATTGTGATTATTAAAACGCAACATTGTCTATGTCATTAAATTAGTTCAAAGAATCATTGCTGAACTTTAGATATCCAATAGACTAAATCGAACGATGAATTTTTTTCATTTATTGAAACAGCTTGAATTCCATAAATACTAGGGAACTAAACTAGGCGCTCAAAATAACTGTTTATGATTAGAGATTTGTCTTTCTTCTTAAATAAGTTTGACTACAACTGTTTTCACTTCATAATATTCTTCAAGACCATATCGTCCTAATTCACGTCCATGGCCTGATTGTTTAAAACCACCAAATGGTGCTTGATTACATACTGCAGCATAATCATTTACCCAAACGGATCCAGCTTGTAATTGTTGAGCAAATGTAAGACCACGTGTTACTAGAAAATAATCATTATTATTTCATTTGTTTCTCTCAAAAACTTACAATCTTTTGTAATTACACCAGCAGCAAGACCAAAAGTTGTATTATTAGCTCGTTTAATAACTTCTTCATATGAATCAAATTTTAATACTGACATTACAGGACCAAAGATCTAGACAATGACATTATTATAAAGCATTACAAAGGAAAAAAAGAACATCATACTTCTTCACGAGCAACTTTCATATCATCTTTGACATTACTAAAGACTGTTGGTTTAATAAAATAACCTTTATTGCCAGCTCGTTCACCACCACACTCTAATTTAGCACCATCTTTTTTACCACAGTCAATATAATTTAAAATCTTTTCAAATTGACTAGCATTTATCTATAAGATGAGACAAAATTTAATTTCTTTTGTTTGTAGAATATACAACTTCATACCTGTGGACCTTGTTCAGTACTAGGATCAAATGGATCACCAACAACACGGGTTTTAGCTAATACAACACTTCGAGCAACAAATTCGTCATAAATTTTTGCATGAACAAATGTACGAGATGCAGCAATACAACATTGTGAAGCATTGGTAAATATAGCTTGATGAGCAATATTTACAGCATAATCGACTATTTATTATATACGAAAACAACACAGAAATTGATTGTTTAGGAAATTTTCTTAAAGCTTACGATCAGCATCTTCACAAATGATCAATGGGGATTTACCACCTATAATGAAAAGAAAAGAAATTCATGCTAACTCTGTCGAATACTACTCACCAAGTTCAAGTGAAACACGTTTAAGATTTGATTTAGCTGCCGCTTCTTGAACTTTCTTTCCAACCTTCAATCGAAAATTGAGTATTACTTTGAGTTTTTTTTATTTTAAGTATAATATTCTTACTTCAACTGAACCTGTAAAAGCTAGTTTATCAATATCTTCATGAGCAGCAATGGCATTGCCACATTCAGGTCCATCACCTAAATTATGTCATCAAAATTTTTATCATAATATTATTTGTTTTACCTGGAACGATGTTCACAACACCTGGTGGAAAGCCTGCCTAGAATATTAAAAAAGAAAAGATATGATTCATATTTTAAATAAAACCATTGATAAAATGACCTCTTTGATAAGAGCAGCACAATAGAGTGCAGTAAGTGGTGTTTGTTCAGCTGGTTTCAATATGATGACATTACCTGTTTCATATATTGGTAAGAAGAAGCATTAAAAACAAACTGACATATGCACTTACCACAAGCTAAAGCTGGACCTAATTTCCAAGTCATCATCAGAATCTAAATTATAGCGAAATGACTTTTATCGCCATTTTAGAAGAGAAAAATACATACTGGATAATTCCTACAAAAAAAACATATTTTATCTCTATACAATTCAAAATTGCAACTAACCATGGAATGATTTGTCCACAAACGCCAATTGGTTCATGACGAGTATAAATAACCTGATCATGTGCTCCAGGAATGGTTTCACCGGTAATTTTATCAACCCATCCAGCATCTGCAATCTCGAAATATTATCTTTCAAATATCAATAATTAGATATACATACAATATTCAAGACAATCAGCTGATGCAAATATATCACCTTTACTATCTTCTATTGATTTACCGTTATTCAGAGTTTCTAATTTCTAACAAAAAAGAAGGATTTTTTTTCTATGACTAAGCAAGAATATAAATAAAAATCTTACAGATAAATAATCTATATCACGTCGAAGAAGCGACGCAAATTTTCGCATCAAATTACCACGAGCAACAGGCTCGAATTTACGCCAAGGTGAATCAATGTCAAAAGCTTTACGAGCCGCTTTAACTGCTTTATCAACATCAACCTACAAAAACAATACTGAAATATCAAATAGAAAAAAACATTCACAAATGCAGTAATACTCTAGTGCCCTCTTCTACTTGGCAAATTTCTTCGCCTGTAGCTGGATTGATAACTGCAAATGTTCTACCATTCGCTGCTTTATGCCATTCATTGTTGATAAAAATTTGTGTATATTTAATTTCAACTTTAGGAGTTTTTGAATCAGCCGACGGCATCTAAAAAAATGTGCAAAAAAAATTTGTAAAAAGTAACTAAAACCGATGTGTTTCGAGTCACAAACAATAAGATTATGCTATAATTGCCATATACGTTGATAAGAAGACATTTATATACTTCGTTCGCATTTTGTTTTCTGATTCTTCTTCATAGATGCGCAAATACAAGCTTACTTTTTTCCTCTTTCTAGGAGTCGTGCCTGTTCTCTTTTTCTCAATATCTCGTCAGCAAACACGTAATAAATACATTAAAAAAGGGTCGATTTTATACCTGCTGATATACTGAAAAAATCATGTAGATTAAGAAAGTATTGCGAAGAACAAAATTACTATATAATTCAAAAATATTATTAGTAGAACTATCTACTGATCGGTGGCTTAATAAGAATGAGGGTGTGCGCGTGGCCTTTTTTACTTCATTCCTAGCTACGCTAACCTCCATTCCCACCGCTATCGAGGGTGTGGGTGTGGAGTGTGGGTGCGAGTGTGAGTGTAGGTGTGGGTGAACAGACAATCTACACCCATACCCATCCATACTCACACCCACCCACACCCTAATAATTTAGGGCAACAAAACAATAGTATTATGAGGGTTCTATTTATTCTAATGAGTTAATCTCTACAAAACTAAATTAACAAACGAAATCGAATATTTAATCTGTTATTAAGGAGCTAGAACAACAATATCTGATGTACATTCCATTACACCAAGTAATTCATCTATACGAACCGTTCAAAGTAATAACTATTGTTCAATATTCTGTTTTATCTATGTTTTAACTGATAGCTTCTATATATGAATATTTTCCACCACCAGAGAACTCATTTAAAAAAATCAACAGTCTCAGCCAAAATACATTGAAGTTATAAACATTTTGTACTATTAATATTTATTATCTCTATTGTAGGTTCCGTATTCGATGTAAAATAATATATAAAGTTCAGTCCGACATTTTGGTACGAATTGCAAAGTATTCGATGAAATAGTATACGATTTAAGTGGAGGAAATAAAAGTGGTGGGGTTCAATGAAGAACTCGATCGAATTTACAATAGCATGATCGTCAATCAAGTAATGATTGCTAAAAGAGTTTTCGAGAAGCTATCTTTTTTTAGACTGTTATTATTGAAAATGGAGATATACAAAAAGTTAATGAGAAGTTTCGTTCACCGTACTCAGCGTATGAAATTCGATTACATGTCGGTATGTTAATAAAACATCACATATTGTCATTTGAGAACGTATCTGATACAGAATTGATCAATAATGATTACAATCAAATTTCAGTGAAGTAAAACTGTTAATAGTATAAAGAACCTAATTTTATATCAATATCGTGGATAGTATGTTTAAAAATTAAGCATTATCGAAAGTTGTTAATGTTCTATAAGTTTTAATACGAGTTAAACATAATAACTTGAATACCTATTTATAATATTCTAGCGTTCTTTACAAAAATAGGCTCTTGTCGAGTCTTATTTACTAACTAATCTATTCTTTTTAAAAGACAGGCAACGAAAGCTTTTTCGTTATTGTAGATGTCGAAGGAATAGTTATAATGGACAAAGGATTAGCAACATCACTTCTTTGACTATATAGATCGACGAAGCACCAGACAAAATCATAAGTAAAAAAATTCGAATTCGTAATGGCAACATAAACCATTACAATGGTAAAAACCGTATTCATTAATAACAAAATAATAAAACTATAATTTTTTTTAAAAGACTATGTAATCATCAACATATTTGAAGAAACAATCATCAAATATCATTGAACAAGACGAATTATTTTAGTTTCACAAAAAAATTTCCTTTTCTTTTTACTAATCGATTATTACTAATTCTTGTTTAAAAATATAATTGCGAATGATTTTTCATTTCACATATAAACAATAATATGCTAAAGCGAAGCGTAAAAAGAAACAACCATCTTATTGTTCTATCAAAAATCAATCATATTCAAACAAGAAATATCGTCTATTATTCGTGACTTTTTTTAAGGCTTTCAAAATTTACTTAGACCTCATCAGACTACAATCGAAACTTTACATCTTCCTAAAGCTTATTGAGATTTGCATTGAAAAAAGTGGCATACTCTACATCTTACAAAACATTGTTTAGATTTGCATTAAAAATGCTGAGTAAATTATTAAGTTTGAATACTTAGATAAATTTGAATTTAACTTGAGTTGAGCTTAATTTAAATATAGAAAATCAATTATTTATTCTTTTTTTGGATTGTTTTAAATTTGAAAATCTTTTAATAATTATGTTTAATTTTCCCTAAACCTCAATTTTGCCGGACACACATCTTCTGTTTGATCCTTTTTCTCATTATTTATCTAGTTGTCATGCTGATAATGCGAATGAAATAAGAAAAAACGGAGGGTGTGAGTATGGGTGTAAGTTTTTACACACAGAAGACCTAGACCCACATTCATACCTACACCCAACGATAACTCTCCCCCAATATATAATTATTTATATTATTAGTTGATTTGACATTGTACGTTGAAGTTTCTATGCACTACAATCGTTCTAATTCTATGAAGCAAAGATTAAAAATTAGTTTTCAGAGGTCTTTTGTCATAGTTGGCTTCGGTAAATATTGAGCATAGCCACTAGTGGCAAATTCTTGTGGATAAAATTTGTGCCAAGCATTGGTTAAAGCTTGTAAATGATCAGGATGGGTTGCACCGAGTGCTGCCGGATTGAGAGCAAAGCAGACGAATACTGTGCGAACACAAGAACTTAAAATTGATGCCATAACTGCACTCATCAATATACTGATAATAAAGCTGACGATAGATGCAATAATAATCGTTATAATTTTCTCTGGTGAATCCGACATAAAAAAGTAGATCAAGAGACCGCCAGCTAGAGCAGAAGTGAGGCCTATAGCAATATTGACAATCATCATGGTAGTTCCAACGAGCACATCGTTGATAATGGCTGTCCAGCCACGCTTTTTAAACAACTCAATAAAGCTTCGACCAGCTTCAACAAATGTTTGACCGGTAAGAGCTGCATAAATAAATGCCCATTCATTGAGATAACCGATAAGTTTTTCAAGTATTTGAAGAATACAGTCAGCAATAGCAGCAATAATATTCTTGCGACGATCTTTGCCTATACAAGCGCGTAGAGCTTTGATAATAGCCTCAAGAAGAGAACCGAGACAGATGGTTCCAAAATTAGTAGTAAATGCTCGCTTAATACTCGCTCCAATGGTATATTGTCGACTACCTTCACCAGTAAACCACCAATGACCAACAGCACATGCCGTAACGAAGTGAGTTATATTTCCAAAGGTTGCTGCGCCCCAATACCATGATAATAATACAAGAAATAAAATGATATAAGAAACAATACGACGTGATTGTCCCTGTTTAGAAGATGTCGAATCATCTGTAGCATTGGACCATTGAATTTCATCATTCGTTCTTTTCATTGTGCTATTGATCGATTTTGAGTTTCTATCCATAGAATATCTTGCTGTATCGGTGAATTTCGGTATTTTAGTGGTCATAGGAGAAACTATATAGATCGGTGTAGACTTTGTATTGATCATATTAAACTTTGTTCCATTATTTACATTCGTTGTTGTATTAGTATTAAAAATTAAAATCGTATTGTTTGAAGCACGTTGAATACCTAATACCATAAGAAACCAGAAGAAGAACCATAACAATTCGACGATAAGCATGATGAAGGCGATCAATAGCAACGAAGGATGACTACGTAATACAGCACAGCCTGCTCCTAAATGGGCTTCAGCAAATGCAATTCGCTTTCGAATACAAGAAATGTAAATCAGTGTGAAAAATAGAAAAAATCCAGGTATAAAGCATAGAGGCCAGAATACGAAAGCTAGAGCGACAATCAATAGAACTTCTATGATGGTCGTTATAATAAATGAAGCTTTGATAATTCGACCAGCACATTGTTGTAGAAGAAAGAAAGTGAGGAATGATGCAAATATACCGAGAGCTGCTGCAGTACCCAATGCAAACAGGAATATCTTGATGTTGAAATCAAATGATTTTTCCGTCCCTTGATTGGATGAGTTAGCCTTGATCTGATTAGAGAAATTTGCCTTGAGTTGATTCCATGAATTTTCCTTGATAGATGCAATTAAGGCCGGTAAGCCTAATACTAATCCGACAATGATTACACCAATTAGATGAATGTAAAAGATGATAGCAAAGACACGATCTTTCCATCCACTGCTAAAGTCGATCTTCGGATTTTCATATGCAGGTGGGGGTTCATCCATGAGTAGCGTGGTTCCATCGACAGGTTCAAGAGAGCCATGGGCAGCACCAGTATCATCTAACATAAGCTTGTCCACCATAATATTCTGATTCAAATCTGAAACTAATGTGCGTGAAGAAAAGATTTTTTACGTTAGTACGTGTTCATCATAAAAAACAATCCATGAGATTATTAGTGAAGAGTTTTTTCGGCAATATTTGAGGAATTACGAAAACGATTGTTATCAGAAAAATTCATTGAGGAATCTATTTTTGCTCAATTGTCATGTATAAGTAACGCGAGATATTAAAGACATATCGTGGGCTCTTATTTGATACAATGATCCTTCAAATCTAACATATGTTTCATATCGATTCTAAATCGAGTGCAAAATCAATTATCTCTGAGAATATCTCGAAAGAACTCTACAAAATCAGCTAGAATAATGTAGATAAGTGAAATTTTTGTTGTTGAATCAGAGATAAAGATGGAATTTTTTTCTTATCAAATGTAATGTCATTTCAAAATAATAATCGAAGCAAAAGATGATAGATATTTGTTCAAATATCATATCCTTTAAATGTTTATGATTCACGACCTAAACAGAAAAAAACTTCTAAAATGCAATAATATCTGTGCTTTATTCAATATCAAACGTCATTCACAATGATGTTTAATTCAGACGTAAACAATTGCCTCCTCTTTTTTTCTAAATTTAAACTAGAACTTTGAGAAAAAAGTATACAGTTTTCGTCCATCTACGTGTACTTTGAATAGAGATTCTTCTGATATTCTATTTAGAGTGATGCTTTTTTAGTTGGTTTCTATGGTCTGAAAGATGAAGAATAGCACAGTGGAATTGACAAATATTTCTAGCAAAGTATGCAAGTATAAGGACGTAATTTCAATGTTCAATGTCAAGTTGACCTCAGCGAAATATTTTTGAATAGAGAGAAAAATCTTCATAGACTCTTATGCGACATTGCAAGTGCAATTGATTCGAAAAAAGTGGAATCATTTTTACCTGCTAAGGTTCCATTTAGAAGCCTTTCATCTGTGAAGGTCTTAGTAATAGGGACGCGAAAAAAATACACGACTACTTTGCTTTTATATGAGTAATGGGGAAAATGTCCGTAACAAAAAAAAACGTTGTTTTATGAATAAAATGTCAATTAATACAGAGAAAATGATTGAGTCGATGCATCAATATTCAAAACATTCTATCGTTGTCACGGTTTCTTTCAAAATGTATAATCACTCTAACAGAACGATCAATTTAAATAAAATCTCGATTCATCATAACTGATTACTCACACAATTCGTTCTCACCATCAATATTTTACTTATATCGTATCAACACACATACACAGAACAGCACAAATTTGTTAGTAACTAGTGAACGAGAAATGAGACTGCACGTGCATCACTCTTACTAGAAAAAAATGTATCTAAAGTGTTCTTTTTTGTTGGCAATGACGGTGATGATGAAGAAAAATAATATTCCATTGCCTTCGTCTCAGTTTTTTCATACAATAAGAAGAGAAAGAAAATAGTTGCGATTTGTCTATCGACTACATCAAAGTAGAAGAACGAGCTCTCAAAAAATTATGAAATAACTTAGTCTTCATCTGATGTTTGATGGCGAAGCAGACACAGAAGACTATCGTGCATTCTTGTTTTCATATAAAACTCTATCGACCAGTAGAGAACAAAATAAAATGGTAAGATGTCGCGTAGTTTACATAACGCATTTCTCCGACGAGAAAAAGAAACAACAGAATGAGAAAAACACAAAGAAAAAAAAATCGTTGTAGCTGTACGCTTCGAGTAATCATGCATTAAAACTGCTTCAGGAAAAATACAGAGCGCTTTCAACGATAGTAGTTTCTATTTTTGTATCTAGTTCTTTCTTTCATTATTGCTAACAGCGGCTGATAAATTTTCTGCTCAATTCCTCAGGATCTTTATATTGTACTCTCATTATTCCGACTAACTAACTGCAATGCTTAAGATAATAAACAGAAGAAAGAATAGATAACGGCAGCATTTTGCTTAAATAAGCTCGAGACGTCAATGATTTGTTTTGCTTCTTGGGAATTCTTGATTATGTTATTGAATTTGAACAGTAATTTTTCGAAAACTGCTAACTAATAATCGATGAAAAACTTATAAACAAATAGTTAAACATAAGACGCTTCAAATATTGTTCGAAAACTAATCACTGTGTGATCAATTCATCGCAAAAGAATTAGATAACACGATAACAGTCAATTTCAGTTAGAAAAAGAGCAATCTTGAAAATACTAAGTTGAAATTTTTCAAGCTCCAAACCTCTTCATATTAAACATTCAAAAATTAATGAAATTACATAGCGACAATATTTTAAAATTTTCATTCGATATTGTTATTGCGATTGAAAAAAATCTGGTTGATATTCTGAAAGCTCTTGCAGAGCTGTACAATCTTCGTGTCAAGTGTTTACTTCTATATCGCCCCATTTCGTAGAAAATATAAAAGTCAAAATTCTTAGTACGATTGAGAAATGTGTCCATTTTTTGAAATTTCGCAACACTAACCGTACCTTTAACATGATTTTGACATGATTTTCTTGTCAAGAACTTTCAACATCTCTGCCATTTTGTTCTTAAGAAAGGCTTTTTTGGCTTTATAGAAAAACAAGTTATGAGATTTTCACTTGACTAATAGTAAGAGATATTTTTCGAGCAATGAAAAGATAAAAACAAACGAAGAAAGTCAAAGATACGAGAAATAATCCTGCGACAGATAAATTCACTAGTCTACGATCTCGCTAATAGAAATAGTTGAAATTGTTTCTCGTAGAAAAAAAAAATTGATAAAATAAGACGTCAAAAATAAATGATCGTTATTTTCATTTCGTTCAATATCTTATTGGCAAAATGTAAATGAATGAATTAGTTTGATACTACAAATATTTGCATTTTTTTTTGTCATTTATTTCTAGGGAAAAACCGATCGTATTTCTATGAACTCCTCGTATTCAATATTCTTTTTTGACATCGCCTCGAAATGTTCATCATATGAACATTATCAATGAAAAAAAAAAATCTCATTATATTAAAATTGAATTTAAATAGATAAACGAATGCCGTAAAGTTTTTCATTTGCTTCGAGCAGAGTTTGTACATCAACATTGAACCGATTTGAGAAAAGATTTGTTTTTTTTTTGGATGAAACTCATTGAAAGTCGGGGGGAGGGAGTCATGTGTTTCAAAGAGAATGTCGAATATGGATTAAATTGATTTATTCTTCAATTTATATGAACCAGATATTTTCACCGCATGTATTTTCTATTAGTTTACTAAGGTGAACGAATTTCTATGAATTTCACGTTACAGCTCGAAAGAGACAGTGCTAACAAGCTTTGTTTTTGATGCATCTATGCTTTGAAATTCATTGATTTCTTTGATATTTTGTTTTTAAAAGTCAAATCATGTTATGTCAGACATATCAATAGAAAATCGTTTTAATATTGCAAAATATGAAAACATATTCATTGAATAAGTCATTGTTTTAAATAATTTTTTCTTTTTTTCTAACGAAATTGAAAAATTACAGTTAAATCATGGGAAGGAGAAGGCCTTAGAAAATTGAATGAAAATGAATTATTTTTTTAATAAGTATCAAAAATGATTTCACTATTCTGTACTATTTCTCTCTCAATATTGATGATTACAGAGTGTGTGCAGTGTGAAATAAACATGACTCCATATAATGTAGATTTTCAAACAGCTTTTATTCCTCCACCTAATTGAAATTATAGTCTTCGTTTCGTTTGATAAGTCATTTATTAAGCCAAATATGTAAAGAACCTTCATGATATCGATATGTTACATGTCGTCGCATCAGTGTATCCCATTCAGTTAGTGAATACAATGGCAAAGTTAGTCTTCGAAATGTGATACTCGACAAGTGTTGCAATTGTTCAAGTACCAAATATAGGTCGGTTAATGTTTTTGCTTCGATATCCAAATGTTTGACATGATGCGGTATCAGTGAACAAAGGTTCTCCAATAAGACAGAATCAATAGTAAATGTAGGCTCAAAAAATATTTCAAGTGAACGAATATGATTTGTTTCTTTAAATAGATTGATCAACTTTTCTTGTGTTTTTGGAAAGTATTCTTCACGATCTGAAAGTAGAATTCGAAGTTTTATGACTTGAGAAAGATCGACCAATTCCGACAAATAATTGAAGGAATCCAATGCATATTCAGATAGTTCAAGTTCGGCTATTCGACGAAAAAAGAATTGATTAGATTGTTCATTCTGAAAAGAGAATATATATTTAGCTTGTTTTATTACAAATGCCATAACTCTTTTTCATAGTTTTCTGACAACTTTTGTACTTACGGAAATACTTTGAATTGTCTTAGAAATAACAACTGGACCGACGAAATTATATTCAAGTTCTGTTAAAACATCTGGTGTTGAACACAGAAGAATTTCTTCCTTCGGATAATCGTAGATACAATGAACAGGCCAATTTTTTTCGTTCAGCCAAAATGGTGTTCGAAATTGAGTTGCACTCAATTCAACGACACGACAGTTTTGTGAACGAAAACTAAATTCGAATTGACTCAGTGACAATAATGTTGTTCGAATCAATGTTTCCCATCTAGAACCATTGAATATAGCATCATCTGCACAACCTTCAAGTCTTAGATGAACAAGGGAAGGTGTAAGGTATAGAAACGACTCGATTTTATCCATTGAGAAGAAAAGTTGTTGCATTGTTAATGAGGTTAGTTGCGGGTAGGTGGTCGAAAGATATTCATATTCAGTATGAATGTCTAAATTGAAACGACGTAGTACAATAGTTTGAAGATGGAGAAGATGACGAAGAATAGTACAAAAGTCTTTGCGCGTACAATGATCGATTGTCAGATGTTTCAAATTGGATTCTTTAGGCCATTCAAAACTGTCGACGTATAACAAATTACCTGCACATATGAATTTTCGTAAAGTTGATCGTGACATAGTCGATGATAGAAGATTTAATATTGTACTTCGATGATTCGAAGGAATTGATCGTTCAATTGATAGTGAAATAAGTGAACAATGATTTGCATAATTTAGAATTTTATCTATAATATCATCATCGTTTGAAAAAACAGCTAGTGATCGAAGTCGAATAAATTGATAGATGTCAAACAAAGAGAGAAACAGCTCAAGTTGACCTGGTGTCTCATCATCGTCAGATAAAAAAAGTGACGTAACATTTTCAGGATGAAGAATGTGGCACATATGATAAAAATCAGACTTCGAAATCCATCTCAAATCGACTATAAGTCTCTGATAAGTGTTTATAATTATTCGTAGTCGAGTACATACATAACCAAGTGAGAGTAGTATTGTACGTGTATCGAGATAATCAAAAATACGTTGGAAAAGTTCGACTGGTAGAGTAAGAAATAATGATGAATTGTTGTTAGACATTGATACTTTTTAGTTAATCGAAACAGAATGATTCTTATTCATTTATATATTTCACGAGCGTATAGTTTCCAACTTCGAAAAAAAAAGAAAAGAATTCTCTCACAATGAGAATTTGCCATGTGTCATATGTGTACTTAAGCTTTTTCAGAAAGAAAAATTTTCTTTCTTACACAGAATGGGTATATTTGGCAAACTTGTATGTCACTGATGATTGGAATATTTCCAATGTAAGGGTATCGCATAATCTCATGCCTACCCGTAGACTATTAGTAGTACACATACAGTCACGCTTGGTACGTGTGACATAACGCGAACGGTATACGTCCCAACTAAAACTACCTAACCTCCGATTACAAATTTTCGAAATTATAGAAATTCCTATATAGGATTTTGTTTTCTGAATTATACGACTATTTTCACTAAAAAAAGTAAAAAATTGACCAAAATTTAGGTATTGTACGTTGAACCGCACCTCAAATGTATGTGCTTTACTTGCAAGAAACAGCTATTCACATTACCTGATTTTTTCGTAAAAAGTAATGACCGAGGGGGGGCGGCGGGTAGCACCGCGAAGATCCCCGTACTCCCCTCAGGGCAAAGTCACATCTCGTAAAATTTTTCCCCTTTTTTTGACAAAATATAGCAAAAGGTTTACATGTTCATTTTAAGTATAGGAGACACTACCAGAACAAATCAATAGGAATTTGTTCGTACAATTTTTGTAGAGTTTTCCACGAGGCATCTTTCAAAAAAAAGATCAAGATTATACGATTTATCTATGTTGAGATATTGGCAGAATACTAGATGTCACAATCATTATGACTCGCCTATTTTATTTTTTGCAAATATCTCGGCTTGGAAAAATAATAACACCTTGATTTTTTTTCAGAAGATGCGCCGTCAAAAGTTCTAAAACAGCTGTGTGAATAAATTCCTATTGTAAAACAAAAAATGTTTTCGAAATATTTTTATTATGCTAAAGACAGTTGGGGACATAGCGCTATCATGTGACCTGTTCATTTTGAGTATAGAAGACACTATCAGAGCAAGTCAATAGGAATTTGTTCTTACAATTCTTGCAGAGCTTTTCACGGCGCATCTTTTAAAAAAAGACCAAGGTTATACGATTTATCCATGCTGAGATATTTGCAAAATACTCGATGTTGCAATCATTTTGGTTCACCCGAGTATATGAATATACAGCACGTGTTAGTCACAAGTTCACTTGATTAGTTAAAATTTATTGCGATAAAGTGGCTCTTCTTCATTGTACGTTACTTTCTTCATATGTGTGAAAAAGTAAAATTTCTTTGTTGAGATCGATTATAGTATTTAACAAAGAGTCACCCTAACTGTTTCAATGTCATCTTGGAGTGAAAACATGCCTCTATTATCGGTAAAAAAATCAGCTCGTTTGCTAGGACTTTTAGTGGAGATATTGAATTGTTTCTTGGTAAAGTGACTTTTGGAACACCCTATAGAATCGGCAGAGACACGTTCTATTGATTCATGGAACGGTTCAGAACGCTTTCTATCCAGATAGAGAACGATTTTTGAACTGAGAAGAAAGCATTCCGTACTAGTGTGAAGCAGTAAAGAATGAGTTCCTTTAGACTTAGAACTTTTCTTTTTGTTTGTGAAAACGTTCGCTAAGCTGTAGAACACATTTTTCATGTAAAAGACAAGTCTCTACATTTTTATGAATGCGTTCTCTTCCGTTATTTTTAGAAATATTTTTCACTGGGTAGTCTTTTAGTAACAGTCTCAATAGTTTGATATCCATTGGAAAGACGAGATACTTCTGGTATTTGCATGAATAAAATGAAAATCTACAAAGTGAGTTATCGTTTTTCTTATTCTATGTTCGAAATAAAAAAAGAAATCGATGGAGTACTCACAAGAAATTCTTTAAATTTTATATTTTTTACTACTTACAAATGTGACTATTTATTTTTTTCTTTGTATGATGAACCTTACATTTACCTAAAGCACAGGTAATATTATATTGAAAAAAAAAATGATTCGATACAAAATGTAAGAAGGATACCGAGAATTAAAATCCTTTTCATGGTTCCGACATAAATATAAAATACTTAAAAGGACTTTCTAGATGATAAGACTTTCTAAAAGTTTCATGCTAATCTATAAAGCCTTAAAAGTGCTTCAGCTTTGTTTTCATTATTGAAATATTTATTCTTTCAGCAAAGATTATATTTCCATAAAAGTTATAGAAATATAATGAATAAAATTCAAAATTTCATATATTTGAATGTTTGTTGAGAAGCAACAAAACTAATTATATTTTCTTAATGTTTACAGGAATCAAAAATACGCAAATAAAGTAAATTGCAATTTTCAAAGTCTTCAAATTTCCTTAGAAAATTCAAAAAAAAAATTTATTTTAACACTCTCCTATACTTTGTGCTTAGTTTTTATATCTGCTGACAACTATACATCACGTTTATGTTAATAACAGAAAGAATAAAAATATAAAAGTAAACTCTTTCGTTATAACAAGTTCAAAAAAATTGTGTTGAATTCTGTCTAATTACTTGCCATTTTTTTCTTGTAGCCTAAGATTTCGCTACATATTGACGTCAAAAACGATTTGATCTTTTGCAAAAGATCAGTCAACTAATTCTTTGTATGAAACATTTTGCTTTTCCATACCTTTAGAATTTCCGCATGAATTTTATTGATTGAATCGAATAAGTGAACGATTTTGTAGACTACTGTCGAAAATATCAATAAAATGTGTTTGTCTTTTTTTTCTTGTTCCT